CAGACAATTAGGAATAGTGCTACCTCAAGATCCAGCTACACCACTCCTAGGCATTATCCAAAAGATGCTCAAGTATAAAACAAGGGCATTTGCTCAACCATGTTCATAGCAGCTTTAATCATAATAGTCAAAAGCTGGAAACAACCCAGATGTCCCTCAGTTGATACAGAAATTGTGGTACATTTACACAATGGAATACTACTCAGCAATTAAAAACAAGGAAATCATGAAATTTGCAGGCAAATGGTGGGATCTAAAAATTATCATCCTGAGTGAGGAAACCCAGAAGCAGAAAGACCCACCTGGTATATACTTACTTATAAGTGGATATTAGACATATAATATAGGATAATCATACTAAAATCTGTACACCTAAGGAAGCTAATCAAGAAGGAGGACCCTGGTAAGATGCTCAATCTTCATTCAGAAAGGCAAATGAGATGGACATCAGAAGAGGGAGAAAACAGGGAACAGGACAGGAGCCTACCACAGAGGGCCTCTGAAAGACTCTACCCAGCAGGGTATCAAAACAGATGCTGAGACTCATAGCCAAGCTTTTTTCAGAGTGAGAGGAATCTTATGAAAGAAGGAGGAGATAGAAAGACCTGGAAGGAACAGGAACTCCACAAGAAGAGCAACAAACAGAACCAAAAAATCTGGGCACAGGGTTCTTTTCTGAGACTGATACACCACACAAGGACCATGCATGGAGATAACTTAGAACCCCTGCACAGAAGTAGCCCATGGCAGCTCAGTGTCCAAGAGGGTTCCCCAATAATAGGAACAGGGACCTTCTCTGACATGAACTCATGAGCTGGCTCTTTGATCACCTCCACCTGAAGGGGGAGCAGCCTTACCAGTCCACAGACAAAGAAGACAAAGAAGCCAGTCCTGATAAGCCAGACCTGATAAGCTAGGGTCAGATGGAAGGGGAGAAGGACCTACCCTATCATTGGACTGGGCAGGGGCATAGGAGAAGAAGAGAGAGGAAGGGTGGGATTGGGAGAGGATGGGAGAGGAGCTACAGCTGGGATACAAAGTGAAAAACTAATTAAAAATAAAATAAAAAATAAATTAGAAAGACAAAATAATGTGATTTTCTCTCAAATAATGTTCCAAATAATATAATTAAAAATATAGTTTATGTCCATGAAAAAGAGAGAGACAGACAGAGAGAGAGAGAGAGAGAGAGAGAGAGAGAGAGAGAGAGAAATTGCTGTTCCAAGCCCGGTGCGATGGCATACATCTGTAATTTCAGCACTCAGAGAGGCAGAGGCAGAGGCAGGCAGATCCCTGTGAGTTCAAAGCCAGCCTGGTCTACAAAGCAAGTCCAGGAAATCCAGGGCTACAGAGAAAAACCTACACTCTGAGGAAGGAAGGAAGGAAGGAAGGAAGGAAGGAAGGAAGGAAGGAAGGAAGGGAGGGAGGGAGGGAGGGAGGGAGGGAGGGAGGGAGGGAGGGAGGGAGGGAGGAAGGGAAGAAGGGAGGGGGAAGGGAAGGGAGGGGAAGGGGAAGAAGGGGAAAGGAAGGGAGGGGGAGGGAAGGAAAAGGGAAGGAGATCAGTGTTCCTCTCACTATACTAAGAAGAATCCAATTCTTTTTATAAGCTGAAGTTGCTTGCTTTGGGGGTATTGGTTGTTAATTTCTTTAAAAAAAAAATCACTGCAAGTTTTTTGCCAATTCTCATTGATTACCAATAAATAATGAGGTAATTCCAGTATTAGTATAAGCACTATAATCTCTGTGTCTCTTCCTGCTAATTGATGAACTCTTATTATTCCTTTCACAATTCAGGAAATTTTTCTATATTTTTAAGTTTTTACTCTGTTTATGTGCTAAAAATATCCATTATATGATATTGTGATCTTTTTGCATAAGAATTCCTGTGAGAGAATGAGTAGAAGGTAAAGTAACTAAAATACAGTAAATGTTGGGATCCAAGCAGTGCACCCGTGTGCATCCTGTCCTCTCTTTTCTACCAGAGCCGATTCTCTCTCAGCTTCAGCTGATGATTTTCTTGGACTATTTAAGTCCAAATCACCTTGTAGGATTTGAAATAAATCACATAGCTCATAGTTAATCAAATTGTGGGTCATACTCAATTAATATGGTGAGTTATTCCTGCTATTAGGGAAAAACAAAAAACATTTTCCATGAAGGGACCTTTAATATTGAGTTTTTCCTGCTATATAGAAAAAAAAAATAAAAAACTTTCAAACAAAAATCAAGGAAAGAAATAAGAAAATTCTAAGTTTTGGGCAAGTTGTGTTATCTCTTGCTGCCGCAACAGAGCCTGTCGTTCTCTGGATTCAGATGTTGCCTCTCTACATTGGCAGGGGACTTAGTAGAAAGAGATGACAGGCATCTGGTACCCAGAGAACTCAGTTCTAGCTGCCATCAATTCCTTTTTCTCTATAGGGAAGAGGCTTTTTCCTTCCTCTGTTTCTACTGCTTGTAGTTAACATTCCATCTCTCAGTTCTCTTTTGATTTAAGTCTGCTTTATTCTGATTTTTCTCAGAGAAGGCACAGAAAACTCTGATTGTTACTGAAAATATTGTAATTATTTCTATTTTGACAGTCAAAGCAAAACTATAGAGGATCCAAATGCCCATTTCTACAGTGTTTGCCTTCTTTTTCTTTCTTTCTGGTTTTTTTTTTTTTTTTTTCTGATTATTTTTGTTTTTTTGGGGGGGTTGGTTTGGTTTTTTGTTGTTGTTTGTTTTTTGTTTGTTTGTTTGTTTGTTTGTTTGTTTGTTTGTTTTGAGACAGGATTTCTCTGTGTAGCCTTGGCTGTACTGGACTCCCTTTTGTAGACCAGGCTGGCCTTGAACTCACAGCCATCTACCTGCCCCTTCCTCCCCAAGTGCTGGGATTAAAGACATGTGCCACTGTGCTCAGCTGTATTTTCCATTGTTTTAAATCTTACTAACTCTCTTCTTCTATTCGATACTTCATTTTATTATTTAGACATAATATTTCTTTCTATACCTGTCTATATTCAGTTTCTTTTCTTTCTTCAGTGGCTATGTACATATACAGAGTATTTCTACTTATGTCTCTTTCTCCTTCCTATGGAGATTTCATGTATTATTGCAACTTAATATTCTTTCTATGCCTGTCTATATTCAGTTTCTTTCCTTTCTTCAGTGTCTATGCACATACACAAAACATTTTTATTTATTTCTTTTTCTCCTTCCTTCAGAGACTTCATTTACTATTTAAACTTAATATTTCTATAACTGTCTATCCTCAGTTTTTTTTTTTTCCTTTTTTTCGGTGTCTGTGCATTTATACAAAACAATTCTATCCATTTCTCTTTTACTGCTCTCAAACTTTTAATATTTGTTTCTGTACCTAAGTTTCTCTAAACTGTCTTCTGGGAGCTGCCCACTTCCCAAATATATTATATTACATTATCTTCTCAGTTTCTGCTTTCTGTATGCTGCTGCTTGTCTTCTCTGCCTCAGCCACCCCACAGCCATATTTACCTTTAATTTTCCACTTACCTAATCTTTATCCTTTGGACTTTATTCCATAGAATATAAAGAGTTCTGTGCCCTCTTTTTGTTATGAGTGTGTTCTTACTTACTTGGGTTTCATGCTTGCTTGCTTGCTTGCGCCAAGCTGTCTAGAGCCCAGACTTACCTAGGAGCTCACCTTGTATGCCAGGCTAGCCTCCCTAAGTGCTAAGATTACGGTCATGAGCCACCACACCTTGCTACTATTTCTCATTTGTCCAATCCTCTACTGCAGCTATGTTCTTGTGTAATTAGCTTTTGCAATGTATAAGAATGTCTATGGAAAGTTCTAGAAGCTGTTTGTTAGGAGAGACAAATGCATATTAAACATTGACAATTATTTTCAGATTTCCTCCTCAGGGAGGAGGAATTTATATGAATTTATAATATTTGAGATGAGTTTTGTTTTTGGGTTGTTTGTTTTTGTTTTTGAGACAACAATCTTACTGCATAACCCTGGCTTGTTTGGATCTTACTATGTAAAATAGGCTGGCCTCCAACTCATAGAAGTCTGGCTGCCTCTTGTCTTCTGAGTGCTTGGATTAAAGGTGTGTAGATCATGCTCCCGACACCCCTACTTATTTTTAATAGGAGCAGCAAGGTAGCCTTGAGTCTGATGACCTAAGTTCAATCCCAGGAACCCACAGAAGCCATGAATAGATCAAAGGAGAACATCAGCTCCACAAAGTTGTCCCCTGACATCCACATGCAGCAGCTCCATGGCACATGTAACAGTTCTCCCCCTCAAAAAAAAATACATATATATAAATTACAGTCTCCTCAGCATTAAGGGGAAGTGCCTCACAAAGACATTTCTTCTGGTCCTCTACGATAAATGAACTCTGCTTTAATTTATCCTAGGACTAATTTATTAGCCACTAAGCTCCATTTGTTCTTTCTCAGCTTGTGCTTGGGTAGAGAGACAAATTAAACTAATTAAGTATGACTCTAGGTCATTTGTTCAGCATCTTGTCTATTCAAAAGTTTTTCAGGCAGGCGGTGGTGGCACACATCTTTAATCCCAGCATCAGGGAGGCAGAGGCAGGCAGATCTCTGAGTCTGAGGTCAGCCTGGTCTACAGAGTGAGTCTAGGACAGCCAGGGCTACACAGCATGTAGACATACTGTCAAATAGTAAATAGACTTTGGAACCCTGCTTTTTATTGGTATATTATATTGATAAATTATTTGAGAAAATGTTAACTGAAACTAGAAATGGTTGTTGTCTAAAATTACAAAGGAAGATGACTGGACACACTAAGAATACAAGATTTTTTGTTTGTATACTTATTCTCTTACCATTCTCTTATTCTCTTACTTACTCTATTTATTTGCTATGTGATAGTTTATGAATCTTATACAAATGAAGGCAAAATGAAGCAAGAAAACTTTACACGAAACATATAACTTTATGCCAATGTTTGTAAACCTTTGTTTTTCTCAATCTAATCAGTGAGCTTTTTCTCACCTGTCTCCTTGCAGCCTAAGTGTGATGGACAGGTCTTACTGACGCAAGTGTGGAAGCATTTAAACCTGATTGAATATGACTACTTTGGTCTGGAGTTTAAGAACGTCCAATCCTACTGGGTATGTGCTTTTGATTAGCTTTTGGTAACTGGATCTGATTGTGTAATAATGTTCTGATTGAGTAATAATGTTGTCCACAGTATACAAAAAGCCTTCTAGGTCATACTATAATGATGACACCTTATTCTTAGCAAAACTATGCTATTAAAGTACCTGATTTCACCTATGGGCAGCATGCCTACCTTTAAGCCTTAAGTGCATGTCCTTCTTAATCCCATTCTACCCATTAGGACTTGTGCCAAGGAAATGTCCAGAACTGCCATGGGATGCATCTTGTTAGATCTAAATTGTGTTGCAAGTTGATTTCGAGCGAAGTGGACTGATTTTGCATCTTCTTTTAAGAAACTGTAAAAAAAAAAATTATGGATTTTATTATTTATAGATGTGACAGTTTTAAAAAGTAAAAACCACCCCGGCCATTTAGATCAGAAAGTGTACTGTTGCTCTGCTCTGCAGCGCAGTGGGTTTACCAGAGTCTGTCTGCTCTGGAGGCACAGCAGACATCTTCCACTCAGCAGCATCACCCATTCGTTGTTCACTGGTTCTGTATGAGACCGTAGAATTACCCAGACTAATGCTATAGCATTACAGCAAGTCGGTGCTGCTCCTGCTTCTCGAAGCTGAGCTTCCCATACAGCTTATTAAGATATGAGTAATGTTTAAGAGGACAGTAGGGCAAAATCTCTCTTAATTAGCTGTTTGTATGCTATAGCATACTTACTAAATGAAGAAATTACTTAATAGTTTTATTCTCTTCTCTTAAAAACTCTCTTTAGATTTGGCTTGAACCTATGAAACCCATCATTAGGCAAGTACGAAGTAAGTACCTTATTTAACTTTTAAGAACCTAACTCATTTAAGGTGCTTTGTTCTGGAATGGTAAATTTTATGTGTGTTCACAGTCATTGTGACTGCTCTGTTTAGGTGGTAATGGTGGTCACAGTGGGTAAACATGAAGCCACTTTGCTGGTTGGTTTTAAACTATAATAAACATGCATGAGGATACTAGATTTAATTCAGATAATCCTAAATAATTAGCCTGAAATGTGAAAGTCAAAGGATTTATTGCTTGGTATCTTAATTTTGGGTCAATATGTTAGGGATTGAAAAGTTTCTAGGTTATGAGAAGACATCGCAATGTGTTTTGTTTTTGGAGACAGGGTCTCTCTGTATAGCCTTGGTGGATGCTGGGAATTGAATTGAACCCTGGTCCTTTGGAAGAGCAGCCTGTGCTCTTGACCGCTAAGCCATCTCTCCAGCCCCTACCATTGCCTCTTTTAAGAAAAATTTTGGAGGTCTAGGGAAATAGCTCTTGCAGGACCCAGGTTTGGTTTCTAGTGCCTACATGGCAGTTTATAACTGCCTGCAATGCCAGTTCCAGGAGACCTGACAGCATTTTTTGGCCTCCAAGGCACCAGGCAGGCATGTTGGACACATAAATACATGCAGGCAAGAACTTCTACACTTAGCAAAACAAATTTTTGGTTTGGGCATTTTTATGTCTCCTTGGTTTGGGCTTTGGGTACATGGAGAGAGGGTAGGTTCTTTCCACATTTTCCAGGCTGCCCTGCGCTCATGGTCCTCCCACATCAGCCTCCCAAGTGACGGGACTGCGGGCATGTACCATCATGCACAGCATTGACAGCACCTTTTTAGTAATCACATAAGGAAAAAGGATAGATGGAAGTGACTGTTGTCACCTGCTCCTCCTCCTCTAAAAACTATGCAGTATGGTGTTACAGTTCATTGGCATAGACATCAGATCTTCGGTGTTCAAGCAGGAGTCAGCTTGTTCTAATTCAGTTAGTAAGTGTTGATGACATTTTCCTCTCTGTAATGAATATATATAACATACATACATAAAGTGCGTTTTTATTACTACAGTATAATGGCATAAGCATCTTAATGTAATTTATTCTAAAATATAAACAGGAATATATATATTTTTTATGTATTTACTTGTTTTCAAGACAAAGTCCCCCTTTGTAGCTCTGACTGATCTTGAACTCATGATGCTCCTTCTTTAGCTTCCTAAGTACTGGGATGCCCCATCACTCCTGGCCTAAATTTGTTGTTGTCATCACTTTTGTTCTTAGGGACAGAGTCTTACTCTGTAGCCTAGGCCAACCTCAGACTTAATGTGTAGCCAAGGATTGCTCCAAATGCACAGTAATAGTACAGCTACACACACACACACACACACACACACACACACACACACACACACACA